TGTTGTAGGGGACCACCTTGCAATATACAAATTTATCAGTTCAGCAGGGTTGCCGTATCATGATATTGTTATTATCGAGGTAAAGGTATTGTGAGAGTACTGTATCATGAGTAGAGATGCTGGGACCAGCCGACAAACTGCAGTCAGGGCATCTCTAATCATGAATAGTGTTCAGTGCAATGCAATACAATATAATGTTGTTACAGTGATGCACTGTACTTCTAAAATAGCTGCACTGCTACTTAATTTACAAGTTGTTGATGATGTGTTTAATGGGCATATGGATTAACAAAATTATAAAGATCACAAATAAATAACACAAGCCGCGGTCCACAGATGTGGAGCTTGATACAGGAAACATTTCTACATAAGAAGCCCTATTTGAGCTGTTTTTTGCCAACTGTGCAGCAGATTTGTGGAAAAAGCAATATAAAGAGTGGGATAACATGTTACTCATTACGTCAAGTAAATAAGAAAAGAAACAATAACTCATAACATGTAAAACATTACTTTTGGAGTAATGTGAGCTGTTCCCATCCGTGAGGTTTGCAGGTTTTTAGTATCTACAGCACATAAAACCCTTACAGGAAAACCTGCTAACAAATTAGTTCTGTTAAAGTAGAAAATAAACATTACAGCTGTATTCCTCCTGATGCACAGAGCTCTGTATGAAACTCCTATTAAAGTGGAACAGAAGATGGGCTGGCATTTACAGAAATTGGCCCATGCAGAGGCGTTACTAATGAAAGTGTATTATAATAAATACACTGTAAACTGCTATTAGATACAGCATCAGTGTTTGGTCTCAATTAACAGGTTACAAAAATACAGTACAAGTTCATGCTGTTGCCTTCAGATCCTTCAGCTTGGTGCAAAAGAGAACCCCTGGTGTAAGGCGTTATAAATACTAAAACCAAGTGTATACAAATCCAGCTTCTACCTGCTTAGTTCAGAGGCTGTTATTTTAGTCCCAAAAGACTATTATTGATTAATTATTAAATATCCAAAGTACAAATCCTTTAATTTTAACCATGAGCCTTTATTCCCAACAGCATATAAATAACAGGCAGTTTACTATTATTTTTTTTTTTATTTTATTTTTTAAATACCCCTATCAGGCTTTAGGAAATTTGTATCCTTCACAGCCTGCTTCACAAACCATCCCCTCTCACTTCTGCTTCTGTACTACCTGCCTCCAGAAGCCTC